TCCATCCATAGCCAATACAGGTTGTCCTGGACTTACAGCCAAAATTGGGGCCGAAATTTCCCTAAATCAGTGGTTCCCAAAGTTGGCAACTTTAAGACTTGTGGACTTCAACTCCCAGAATTCTCCAGCCAGAGCTGGAGAGGAGAATTCTGGGAGTTGAAGTCCACGAGTCTTAAAGTTGCCAAGTTTGGGAACCACTGCCCTAAGTCATGGGAACCAAAACGTCTTATGATCTCATCGTTCAACCACAGCTGGAGTCCTGGNTTCCTTTCCTTTCCTTTCCTTTCCTTTCCTTTCCTTTCTTTTTCACTTCCCATCTCTTCTTTTCAACCGAAGAAGCTTCTTGGATGAGAAGCGAAACGTTTTCAGCCAAGAAAGTCCATCAGCCTTTTTTGGGAGGGGGGTGGGGGCAAAAAAAAAAGGCACCTTTGGGAGGTTTGAACTAACCCAGTTTTACCCACCCAAACTGCCAACCGCCAAGACGGGCACTTACTTGAAGGGTAGGGTCCTTCTGGTGGGCTGGGGGCGTACCACTCCCCATTCCTGAAGCTCTCCTGGGGGTAGGCAGGCAGTTCCGCTGGGCTGGGGAAAGAGCCAGGGTAGCACCCCAGCATGGGGTTTTGGGAGAGGCAGTGGGCCAAGGCGAAGCGGGAGCCCCCCAAGGCTGGCGGGTGGCTCCCCTGGGAGAAGTCCTCCAGGCTCTCCATGCCGAAGCCCTTGAGATCCTCCATGGAAGAAGGGATGCCAGCAGGGATGCCAGCAAGCTTCGGAGCTGACCTCTTGAGTCCCCTTCTCTAGCTAGCTCTCCGCAGAGGCCGGCTGGGCTTCCTGTCCACAATCTGGGTTTTTTCATCTTAAGCCTGCACCTTATCAAAGATTAAAGGCTGCACCTCCCACCCTGGAGGTGGGGTAAGGTGAGGATGGGGGGGGGGAAGAAGGAAGGAACCACCCCTTCTTTTGACAAAGCCTTAACCAAACAAAACCAGCCAGGAACCCAGACAACTTCATGGAAGCCGCAAGCTCCTTGGACCTCCAAGTGATGTAGCAGGTAGTCCTCCACTTACGACGCTCCATTTAGCGACCTTTCTTAGTTACACTGGAAAAAAGGAACCTAGGACTTTTTTTAAAAACAATTTTTTTTAATGCAAGTAATACAAACACAGACATATAGATCTAAATAGGAAAAAAGAGAAAGGAAAAAATACTAATATTACTGTGCATTTCTAACCCACCCACCCCGGGACCCTGTCCCCCCACCCCCTTATATTTCTTCTTCTATAAATAAAGGATCCATAATATATGCCAATTGTGCCCTTATTCCTTCCAAAACAACAGATATTCTTGAATAGGTTTATTTTATTTTATTTTATTTCATTTATATGCCGCCCTTTTCCCCCCGAAGGGGACTCAGGGCGGCTCACAATTCAAATCAGGGAAGGGGAGGTACAGACAGAAAATAAAAAGACGAAAC